TCCCAGGCATCATGATGGCACCTCCCCCCCCTCCTCCTCCTCCTCCCCCTTTGCCAAGTGGGGAGATATCGATGCTGCCTCCAGCTCCTCCTCTCCCATGTGCTGGATTACCACCACCACCTCTACCACCACCTTTGCCTGGAGCAGGAGTCCCATCTCTTCTGCCTGGTTGGGGTATACCACCTCCCCCTCCACCACCACCACCTTTACCTGGGGCTGGTGTCCCTCCCCCCCCTCCTCCTCTGCCTGGTCTGGGAATGCCCCCCCCAGCACCCCCTCTGCCTGGAACAGGACTGCCACCACCTCCCCCACCTCTGCCTGGAGTGGGCATCCCACCTCCTCCTCCTCCTCTACCACCACCTCTGCCTGGTGCAGGTATCCCCCCTCCACCACCTCTGCCTGGTATAGGTGTACCCCCTCCACCACCTCTGCCTGGTGCAGCTGTACCCCCACCACCTCCTCCACCACCTTTGCCTGGTGCAGCTGTACCTCCTCCACCACCTCTGCCGGGTGCAGCTATACCTCCTCCACCACCTCTGCCTGGTGCCGGTGTCCCTCCACCACCCCCTCCCTTGCCTGGGTTTGGGATGCCACCTCCAGCCCCACCACCATTGCCTGGAGGTGCACCACCCCTTCCAGCAGCAGCCCAGGGCAGCACCTACCCAGCAGTCCCACAGGGCTGTGGGTTTCTTCCTCCTCCACTACCATCTGGTTTATTTGCAATGGGGATGAATCAGGAGAAAGGGAGCAGGAAACATGTTATAGAGCCTTCTCGGCCAATGAAGCCTCTTTACTGGACAAGAATTCAGCTGCACAGTAAAAGGTAAGTCATAGAGTTGTATAGAGAGTGGTGTTTTCACTTTATGGCTGCCTTGATAGTGTTGGATGTTCTTAGCAAAAGTCTTTACTGCTAGATCTTTGAGAGAACCTCAGTGCGAACAGGAGTTTATGTATAGTTGGATATGTAAATAGGGTTCCCATTTTCTTTAAAGTTCACAAAGTCTGAATTACCTTATTTTCACATGGAAGCTCTTTGAGGGTAGTGTTTTCACCTGTCCTTTGGGGATACATATCACATGTTGATCAGAGATCTGGGGGTGAATGTGTGCTACTAGGTGTTCTGTGAAATGTTTTTTAAAATGTATTTGTGGTTCCCCTCAACTTTCAAGGTAGCTTTGGTCTCTCTCTGGAGCCTCTTGCAAGTTTTGGTACTGTCTACCCTCTAGATGACTGTATGCTGAACGCATTCTATCCTTCTCTTTCCTTTCTTCAGTGACCTAGTACACTCAGCAGAGAAATTCAAACTGCAATTTATTTGCATGGCAGCATAAAGCTATTCTGGTAGCAGTTACTTTTCATATACTTGGTTTTGGTTGATGTTTTTTGTTTGTAAAATATCATTACTGGTCATGAAAAGAAGTTGCCTTATAAATCTTTTCTTGATGCCTCTAAGCAGTGAATGTAAAACTCTTCTGCTGTTATTTAATGCTTAATTTCTTCTTTCAAGTTCTCACCGTTTCACAGGTGGTCTGCAAATAACTGTCTATTCCTATTTTTCTTTCTTTCCATGTCAGTGTGTTTTATAGCCTATATACAGCCTATTTTTATTCTGATATATGTAGAGTGGGTAGATATAAATAAACTTGACGGTATCATATGTGAACAAAGAAGCAAACCCAGAAGCATGAGGGTTTATCAACAGTAGTACTTATTCAAATGCTGCCAGTAGAAGTTAGGCAACACCTTTTAAATCGTTGCTATTTTATTTTATTAATTCCTCCATTTATGACCTTATTTAGTTTGACGTTGCCCTACATAGGTCTTTTGCTTAACTTTAGAGATTCTAGTGCTTCACTTGTGTGGGAAAAAATTGAAGAGCCTTCCATAGATTATCATGAGTTTGAAGAACTGTTTTCTAAAACAGCTGTTAAAGAGAGGAAGAAACCCATTTCGGACACCATTACAAAAACAAAGACTAAACAAGTGAGTACTCATTTAATTTCAGATCTTTTCTAGGCTGGTTTTTACATGAGGGCAGATTTTTGCATGCAGCTGAAATGAATTTTGCCTGGTGTGGAATTGTCACCATATATATATATACATACACACTATTGAAAAATAAGAAAAGGAGAGAATATAGAATGGATTTCAAAGCTATCTGTGTTGAAGACTGAAGATTTATTTGTTTATAAATTACTTTTCAAGTATGTATTTTCTTAACAATATCTTCACTTTTTCCAGTTTAGCAAAAATAAAACTAAAATAATTAGGTGCATATATGATGCTTTGAAATGGACTGAAGATGTGCAAGGAGTAGTATATAAATTATTCTGATTAATTTTATACATAAAATAATGAGTAGAATATGAATTACCATGACTTCAAAGAAAAAATGTTTCAGAATCTAAGTCCTAATGTTATACCATTCAGAACAGTTCTAAGTTTGTGTTGTGTTTATGTATGTAGTGAATATGAAGTTTATACATACAATAAATGACAAGCATAGTTGTAGAAAATCCAGCATTAATCAAACTGGTTTCTTGAGACAGAATGGTGTACAGTAAAATAAGAAGCATATTTTAAATGTAGGAGTTTAAACTCCAGAGTAAGATAAGAGAAAGTGAAAGACTTTTGCTCATCTTTCCTCCTTCTAGAAAAAGCCCTTTTAATGGCTGTTTTTAGCTAGATTACTATCATAGCTCTCTAAGTTAAAAAAAAAAAGGAGTGCAAAGGTGTACCTGACGCTTTACATATGAACAGTTGATCCTTTCATGTTTCATAAGGTTTGGTGATGTAAATCTCTCAACAGTAGAAATGATGGCTGTTTAGTTCTGTAGCATACACAATGCTTAAAGACAGAGGTAGGCAAAGATTATGAACAAATGTTAGATGTGGATTTTAATACTAAGACTATTTATTTTTCTTGCAATGGCAAAAATTTAGATATGTTGTCAGCAAACAAATGCAAAAAAGATGTAGCTAAAACTATGTTAAAATGCCTGACTGTTCTTAATTTCTTTGAAAAGCAAAAGTTATTTATGATAGGAATTTCCTCACAGAAGTTAAGGCAATCAAATTAGTTGCAATCATCTAGGACAAATATTCCTGTGAGCCACCCAAATTGACAGAAGAGAATTCTCTGTGTGTTTTTCACTTCGTCTGGTGATCAAACAAATGTACAGGTTTCCATAACAGAGAGAAATTGCCTAACAGAGAAGTCTAATTTGTTGAACTCTAGTGTCTGGGGAGAAAAGGTTGACCAAACAGATAACCACAGGGTTTCATTGGAACTGCAATTAGAACTATCAGTTATTGCAGATGTCAAATATTTATGTGTGACAATCCAGTTTGGGCTTTTCATAGTATTGATATGAGATAATTGAAGTAGAACAGCTTCACAAATACATTTCACGTACATCCTTTCAGCAGTTTGGAATGCAGGATGTCATTTTTGAAATTCTCTTCATTTATACCACAGTAAATACTTGGATAATGAAGTCTGTCCATGTTTAGCAGAAGAAACAGTTATTTGCGGGAAGCATGGCTGTAATTCCATGAGGATGCTTTCACAGGAAGCACCAAGTGCTATTTAAGTGGTTACTGACTTACATGGTTTCTATGATAGTTACGGGTATTGTAAAGATCTTACAACTGGTGTTTTTACAAGGGCATATTATGCAAAGCAGATGTGTTCTGTCACCTGTTGGGTTATGAAGGAGCATTGCATAGAGCAGAACCAGGACCCTCAAAGCTCACTCTGCTGCTTTCCAAAAATGCTCTTGTCTGGGAACTGATTTTGCTCCTTATATTGATGTGCAGGGTCTGCAAATGAATGTATTGCTTAGATGTCTTGGATGTAAAATACTAGCTGCACTGGAAATAGTAGTAATGAAAAAAAACCCCACCCAGATAACTTTCAAATGCATAAAAAATTTGGTACTCTATGTATACATATGATTTTAATAAATGTTTTTTCTGTAAGCTGAAATAAAAATGTATTTACAGAGCAGGCCACATGGCAGCAGGGGGAATTCTAGCTAATCTTAAAAAAAGAATTGTTAGGTTTTGGATGTCTAAGTGGGTGAAAGAGTAATTATTTTGGAGTACACTGCTGTTCTGTACACAGAGGTTTTTATTATATATGCCATAGAGTATACACATGTTTGCTTGTGTATGTATATACATATACATGATATAATTATTTCTAAATAGTGAGCCCTTTTTAAGTGGCAAAATTATCTGTATTGTTGTCAGTTGTTTTGGGGGTTTTTGTGATAATGAATGAGTCAATGTCACCCTACCCAAATATTAGTTTTAATTATTTTCTTCTCAACATGATCATCTGCAAATAAATTAATACAATATAAATCATTAATGGTTTAAAAGAAAATGAGTATTACATCTACTACTGAATGAGGGGCACATTAAAATCCATTCCAGAATTTTAAAGGAAGAGAAAGAATGAATTGTTAATATTTATTTGTGAATACAGCTGATTTTACTCTTACTGTCTCTCATTTGGTGCTACAACAAAAACTGTGATTTATTTTGGCCTGTTAATGCACATATATCAAATTCTCAGCTGCTGTAAATGTGTGCAGGCTCGCTCAATGAGAATGCCTACTAAATCTTCAAAGAAAGTCCTTTATAGGCCTTATTATAGGTGGAGCTGCCATTGCTACCTATTAAAGTGGTCTGGCTTTCATTATTAGTCCCTGTTACAACTTTCCCAAAATTTAGCTCTTTTGGCTGTGAGTTTTGTTGGGTTGGGGTTAGATTTTTCATTTTTTTACTTTTTTTTATTCCCCCCCTCCCTAACTTGGGTGTCTCCTTCATTTTGTCCATGTCAAGGAAGAAAATAAAGTCTGCTTTTGCTCATGTCCACGCAGTTTCAGAGACTTGAAATAGGGAAAAATATTATCAGATGTATGTACTGTTAATTGTGTAAAAGGTTTTGTAAATTTTACTGCTCTACAGGCTATAGGTCTGTTACTGGTTTTTAGGAGAGACTTCAGGTATAATCCTGAAGATTTTTTCCTAAGTTAGTATTGGTAGGTTGGAAAACAGGGGCCAAGAGGAGGGAGGCAAAGGAAGACTTAAGTAACTTGAGAGGAAGTGAAGAACTGAGGAGATCTGGTAGCTGATACAGAGCATAATAGGTGTGATTCTGTGTCACCTCTTATTCTGCCTAAATTTCTCTCAGGAACTTGTCACAAGACTGGGTCGTCCTTGACCTGAATGTTTCTTTCAGCAAATAGTGGATCTCATCAAAGCAGTTTGACCCAAGCAGAGTGTGAAAACTCACTCTTGGAGTGTCTTGTTCAGCTGTGCTGTGTAGTTACAATGCTAGTTTTGGTTAACTGGCTGGACACTATTTTTCATGGGACCCTTTCCATAGCTAGCATAGACTGTGTGCAATGGGCATGGTTCATAATGATTATTTATTAAAATAATATGTTAACTGTGTAAAAAACTGCTGTGTAGCAGTTGTGCAGCACTTAGAAACCGTGTCATTAGTGAAGCAGGAAGAAAAAGGATAGTCCCATGATTTAGGCCACATACTGAAGAATGATGGTAAATGTGATATGTCAAAATGTACTTACATGGCAAACATTGTCCAGTGTAGATGAAATGGTTTCAGTACATGATCAGAAGATCTTGATATCACTGTCAGCATAATAATGATATAAAAGAGGCTGAGCTAACTTGCATAGATTACTTTCCTAACTTTTGAAGAGTCATTTTAGAATATTTACTGATAATACTTTAACTGTACTTTTGGAAAATATTATACATGTGACTGCAATGAATTTTTTGATCACAGACCATGTGTTTATAATCTATCATGTAAATGAAAAAAAGGTTAAAAGATATTCTCATATGGAAAGTCTACTATTAATCTAATGACATTAAAATCTTCATCTCTTCCTTCTATTCCAGAAAATAAATAATAGGTTACTAAAATTTCATTTGGTTTCAAAAGCCTTAGATGCAAACAAGATGTATCAATAAAATAGTTAATGATTTCAGCATTTTTGAATTTTTAAGTTGAATGTAAAGAAGTCATGGTAAGAGAATACCTCTAGAAATAAAATGCCACGTAAAATAAGTACAAAGTGTAAGGTAAGTCTAAGGTAAATGCCATACTGAGTTAGCAGCTAAAAGTTTATTCATTAACAAGGAATTACATAAAGGGAAAATAATTTTCTTTAAAAAGGAGGGTTTATTCCCTCTGCAAACAGTGGAGATACTGCCTTAAGGAGCTTTCTGTATCCTTGCTTGTTTATCATTTAACTGTGTCAATGGCACAACCATTTGCTTCAATTTTATGCACTCTCCAGAGATACGGTCGGGGTTCTGCTGCCCCCACAGACAGAAACTTTAGAGGACTTGTTTTATATTTATACAAGCAAATAATTGATAATGTCATGAAGTTATTTATGAAGTTAAATAGTATCTCACTTCCTTTTATGAGATGCTATGTGAATGTGATCTGATTTTACCTCTCATTCTCATCTTTATATGGCTTATTGCATGCTTTGTTATTACATTATTTGTTTTGTAGCTGTATCTACAAACTTTGTTGTAAACACAGTTTCACCCAATTGTGCACATATATATATATGTGTGTGTGTAT